TTACTTTTTATGAAGAATGAATTTTGAATTTTATAATATTAAAAATATTTATATAATCAAACATAGTTGATTTTTATGATTTTAATTTTTTTAACATATGTTACTAATCTTTACTCTAAACATTGAATTTCAAATCGTATTTTTTTGTACATTCGAGTTTATATTAAGCACAAATTTAAAATTTTATAATAATACATATTCACATTTAGCAACCAACTGGTACATTTTATTTAATGCTAAAAAAAAGTTTACTACTTGGTTTCGTTGGATTTCAAGGACTAACTACTCAAGAACTTTAGATGAAGAAAAATAGAGAGGATATAAATCTAAAAACTCTTGCAACAAGGTCGCATTTATAAGTCGTCGTTAATGTGATTTTGTGAATATTGTATTTTTGGTAGAGATAAGATTTGATATCTTAGAGATTTGATGTAGATTTTTTAGGGCTTCCTTTGTATCTATTTATTGAGCCTTTGTAGAACTCTGTACGGAGAGTGGGGAATGAAAATATTTCACGTCTTTGACATGTATCAGAGAAACCAAAATTTTTACCAAAATTTTTCTCTCCTAATTCTGTCTTCTACCCAACTAAAATACGCATACAACATTGTATTTCTATCTCATTCTCTAAAACCTACTGCTAGTCCACTTTTCTCTTTTCCCACTACGAAACCAACGAAATCATTGTTAAAAAAAAAAAGTAGCAGCCTACCCACTTTTCTCTTTTCCCATTGCGAAACCAAAAAAAAAAATAAAAACCATACAACATCCAATTTCTCTCAACGCATACAACACTCATGGCGTCTTCTTCTTCTACAACTGATGGCAGCAACATTATTGTTGCTCGTCGAACTATCTCCCCCTATGACACTACGTCATTCGATAATCCCGGCCTTCAGGTCACTCACGTAAAACTAAAGGGTGATATGAACTACGATGAATGGTCTCGTAGTCTACGCACGGCGTTACGGGCACAAAAGAAATTCGGTTTTCTCGACGGATCCCTTCCGCGTCCGGCTGACAACGATGAGCTTTTCGATGATTGGCTCTCCAACAACTCTCTCTTGGTCTCTTGGATTATGAATAGCATCGAACCCCAATTACGGTCTACGATTACCGAACCGAATTATCCTCGTGATTTGTGGTTGTCTCTCCGTGAGCGATTTACGACTGTCAATGGCCCTCGTATTCAACAATTAAAATCTGATCTTTCTAATTGCAAACAAAAAGGCGGTATAATCGAACAATACTATGGTCGGTTGACGAAATTATGGGATGATTTGTCAGAATATGATAAGCCCTCGATGTGCTGCTGCGGTAAATGCGAATGTGATCTAATCCGAGTGGGATCGTCGGCGCGAGGCGGAGAAAGTTCACCAGTTTTTAATGGGATTGGACGGGAATTTATATGGCGCCCCTCGTTCTCATATCTTGGCCCTTGACCCGCTACCGTCTCTCAATCGAGCCTTCTAGACGATGGTTCGTGAAGAAAGGATGCGGACGGCACTACAAGACCCTCCACCATTTGAAGCAGCGAGCTTTGTTGTTCGAACAGCAGCTTCGGGCGTGCTCGGCGTCTCCCCTAACTCGACGTATGGCGTCCAGTTCACTCCCGGTGCCCAGGCTGAGGGCGGCTCATATGTCAGCACTTCCTCTGCTACTACTGCTGGAAAGAAAACTACCCGATAGTGCGTCCATTGCGGGAAGTCGGGCCATCTTGCCACCTCATGTTTTGAGGTCATCGAGTACCCCGAATGGTGGGGGACAGGGGTTGGTCGCAGTGGGGGTTCAGGTGGTCGAACCGGCGGTCGGGGTGTGGTGGACGCGGAAATGGTCCAATGGCTGCCACCCGCGGGGGTACAGCCCACGCACACGTGGCTTTTGCGCATGGCACTACGGTAATTGATTCTAATAACAGGACGTCCTCCTCCTTGAGTGACTCCGATCGTGCAGCTATCTCTGGCTTAACTGATGCCCAATGGGAGTCTATCAGTCACTTGGTCACTTCAGCCCGCAACAGTGCTCCATTATCCGGTAAGCGTAGTCCTTTTGAGTGGTTGTACGATAGTGGCGCTTCGCATCACATGACAGGCTTCTTGGATTTTTTTTCTGATATTCGAGACATTCCACCACGTTCTGTCCAATTGCCTAATGGCACGCTAACCACTGCGTGCAAAGTTGGGACAGTTCACCTTGGTTCTCGTATTATGTTATATGATGTTTTGTTCGTTGACAGTCTTCAATGCAGCTTGATACCTTTATCTCGGTTATTGGACCAATCTGGATGTATTTCCACTTTCACTAATAAATATTGTGTTGTTCAGGACCTCACATCGAGGACGGTGATTGGAGCGGGTGAGCAGTTGGGGGGACTATATTTCTATCAAGGGACGATCGCTGCAAACACTTCTCGAGTGACTTCGATTTCGACACACTTGTGGCACCAGCGGATGGGTCATTCCTCTTCTACTGTCCTTTGTCAACTTCCTTTTATCGAGTCCAGTTCTTTAATTTTGAATAAAAAGTGTGATGTTTGTTGTCGGGCAAAGCAATCTCGTGCTAGTTTCCCAATTAGTCATAATATTAGCAGTTCGATATTTAATTTGATACACTGTGATCTATGGGGACCTTATCGGGTGCCTACCTTTAGTGGCGCTCGCTATTTTTTTACTATTGTTGATGATTATTCTCGTGGTACTTGGATTTTCTTATTGGATGATAAATCTTATGTCTCCTCTACTTTGATGAATTTTTTTGCTCTCATTAAACGGCAATTTAGTGCATTGGTTAAAACAGTTCGCAGTGATAATGGGACTGAATTCACATGCATGCGTGATTATTTCCACCAATAAGGGATTGTTCACGAAACCTCTTGTGTTGGAACCCCTCAACAAAATGGGCGAGCTGAGCGCAAGCATCAACATATTCTTAATGTGGCCCGTGCTCTTCGCTTTCAGGCCCATTTACCGATTGAGTTCTGGGGTCATTGTGTTCTTGCAGCTGGCTATCTGATTAATAGAACGCCCACACCAATTTTATCCGGCAAGACCCTTTATGAGATTTTGTATGGCAAACCTCCTGACTATGCTCATTTGAGAGTATTTGGTTGCTTGTGCTACGTTCATAATCAGAACAATGATGGTGACAAATTTGCAAGTGGAAGTCGAAAGTGTGTCTTTGTGGGTTATCCAGCTAGTCAAAAAGGTTGGTGTGTTTGTGACTTAGATAGCCACAGTTTTTTGGTCTTTCATGATGTGGGGTTTTGTGAGTCCGAGTTTCCGTATTTGACATCCCCTGATACTCCCTCTACACCACCGTTTCATGGCCTCTGGCATCCGATGTTGATGAGAAGGGGGTAGATCTTGTTACGACGGGTGTTGTTGACAATAGGGCTCCTACGCCTACTGATGATAGCGGGGCCTTGCTTCTCCTGGGGAGGTGCTCGGTCGTAGTCATCGAATCAAATGTCCTTCTTCACGTCTTGCTGATTTCGCCTCTCACACTATTTGCTCGTCCCCCCACTCTGGCTCCTCCATCACATCCTCGAACTCGGGTACGCCTTATCCTCTTGATCACTATGTTTCTTGTACTTCTTTTTCATCTGCACATAAGTCCTTTCTGGCTGCCGTCACCTCTGCTGTTGAGCCTCAGATAATTTCCAAGGCTGTTAAAGACAGTCGTTGGCGATCCGCTATGCAACTGGAGATTCGCGCTTTGGAAAACAATCACACTTGGGATGTTGTTTCTCTTCCATCTGGGAAACATGCGATTGGTTGTAAGTGGATTTATAAAATTAATAACTCTGATGGATCTGTTGCGCGCTATAAGGCGCATTTAGTTGCCTTAGGTAATCGACAGGTTGAAGGGATTGATTATCAGGAGACATTTGCACCTGTTGCCAAAATGGTTACAGTGCGGACATTTCTTGTTGTCACGGCTACTCGCCATTCGGAGGTTCATCAGATGGACGTGCACAATGCATTTTTACATGGGGATCTGACTGAGGAAGTCTACATGAAACTTCCTCCGGGCTTTCATTCTCCTGAGCCCAATAAGGTATGTCGGCTACGCAGGTCCCTGTATGGCTTAAAGCAAGCCCCTCGGTGTTGGTTTGCGAAACTTGCTACTGCGTTGCGTCAGTATGGTTTTCAGCAATCCTATTCTGATTACTCCTTATTCGTCCTTCATCGTGACTCGTTGAGCTTACATGTTCTGGTATATGTCGATGATCTTATCATTTTTGGGAGCGACCCCACCTCTATTGTTGCATTTAAGGACTATCTGGGTCGATGTTTCTATATGAAGGATTTGGGTTTATTGAAATATTTTCTTGGCATTGAGGTTGCTAGAAATTCTTCGGGCATTTTCTTGTGCCAACGGAAGTACACTCTTGATATTGTGACCGAGACCGGTCTACTTGGTGGGAAACCGGCAGACTTTCCCATGGAACAAAATCACCAACTTCCCTTAGCAGACGGTCCTCTGTTTTCTGACCCCGAGCGTTATCGTCGTCTCATTGGGCGATTGATCTATTTGACAGTTACTCGTCCAGACTTATCCTATGCGGTTCATACTCTGTCTCAGTTCATGCAGCAACCTCGCCAGGCCCACTGGGATGCTGTTCTTCGGGTGATTCGTTGTTTGAAGGGTACTCCGAGTCAAGGGATTCTTCTTCGTTCTGATTGTGACTTGCAAATTTATGGTTGGTGTGACTCTGATTGAGCGACTTGTCCCACTACACGCTGATCACTCTCGGGCTAGTTTGTACAACTTGGTCATTCACCTCTTTCTTGGCGCACAAGAAACAACATACAGTGGCCCGGTCTTCTGCCAAGGCCGAGTATCGAGCCATGGCGACAGGGGTTGGTTTTGAGTTTTAATTATTAGTATATTTACCAATTTTTTATTATGTCCAGAAAACCAATTCAACGATTTCGAAAAGCATGAAATTGGAAACAGAACTAAAAAAAGAAGTGAAAAGATAACTTGAAAGCCTATATTTAGCCACCTAAAAATCACAAATTCACTAAAATGAAACCAAAAAAGACGGTTATCAAACATAAATATTGGCAGATCAGATATTTTCTGTCACACTTTTCATTACAGGCACATAGCAGGATAATCCAATGATCTGGATGCTAAAAAACCATCCCCCAGAATCAACATACACCATGACTAAGATCATTACCGAAAGATCAAAACTTTTTATATAATAAATCCAAACATGTATGGTAATTACAATTTTATCTGTTTTCACGCATTATCATAATCCAGCATTATCATAATCCAACGACATCATAACCCTCAAACTATAAATTCATAAAATGGAAATACAATGTTCTCCAATTTTAACTCTGGCATTACTGTGCGTACCGCGGCTGTAAAGCAGACTAATTGGAGTAGTATAAGCCAGGTGGGCATGGTCACGATCTGTAAGGAAACCGTCGATGAGTTGGCCTCTAGGAACCGAGCCACCAGCTTCGGAGACGGCGTTCTGCTCCACGCGGCCACCAGCTTGAGATAATTTTTGAACCTTCAAAGATTGGGAAAAAATGTGGCTTCTGCGATTTTGTAAGAATGTAGCATCTCAAAAACAGTAAAGAAAAGTAAAACGGGATAAACAAGGAACTCATTCAGGAGGCCACATGTACATTCTAAAATGACTCGCTTATTTTCTTATTAAATAAGCAGGTTGAAAAGTAGATACATGCAATTTTAGGATAATTAATTTGCATCTATTAACTGAAATTACATTGTTTAACTTGCATTCCTAGCTTCAATCATTTTTTTTTTTTATATATATATATATAATTGATTAGGCTATTTAAGTTGTTAGTCCTACAAGATCAAAATAATAAAAATTTAAAAAGATAATTTTTGAAACGATTATATTAAGTAATCGTCATAAACTCGCATTTTCTTTACCAATGCGATAGACTCGCGAGAACCAGGTTAACATGTTTAAATCTTTAAATACAACCTATATTATTATTAATTGTATATAATTTTATTTATAAAAAAGATTTATATTATTATACTGAGGCCGACAATCCAAATAACAATCCGCCGAAACCCTAATTTCTTTTTGTGTTAAACGTGCCAACGAAAAAATAGACATGCATGCCTTATGTATATATGTTGGGGTTCATCCATCCATCCATATAAAGTCCTAAATATTAATGAAACGATCACAGACAAAGGGAATGAATGTAAAAGACAAGTAGAAAGTCAAAGAATAAGTACCTAACCTGAGACAGGGCAAGGAATTTGCAGGAGAAAGGTGTCGGTAGAAGGAGCCGGGTACTACAGCAGCAAAGTAGAAGACAAATGGTGTTAGACGAACCATGCCGAAGGCGATATTTTTATTTGCAACGGGTTGTTCAGAACAAATTACACCAGCAATAGTAAGAATAAGCAAAAAAAGGACTGATCAAGACCTCAGAAAATAGGAATACGAAAAGCTTACCAGGGAAAGTTTGAACCACTGCCCAAAGTCGTACTGAACCATTTCCAGCTCCATATGCGGCAAGATCTCTGAACAACAAAGTTGACCCAAGAAAGGGCCATAGAATCAAGTTGTGGTGCATTTTGGAGTTTGTTATCTGCAGACCATTCGTTAGAATGTGAAAGTGCAAAGTACTTGGAAGCTAAGTTACCTTTGTTACCATTTTCTAGACCTTCATAACTAATTGGTTCAAAATTATTTTTGCTAAATGAGGTATCAACATTTTTTACAGTATTGATAGGCTTCTCGCATATAACATTCTACTGCTCAATGCTTCCATCATCGGAACTCCACAATAATTCTTCATTACTTATAAAGCAGCAACATTCAAGTGAAGATGTTGAAGGCCGAATGACTAATAATGAATTAATGATTCATCTGCAAACTATTTTACATGTATCACAAGAAGGATATCAACTCTTATCAGAATAAAAATGATACTCCCTACGGCCTTTTCAAAAGTTTTAAACTAAATTTCACCAAATTCGGATTTTAAAAGTAGGCACTTTGCTTCCAGATAGTAATTTTGGATGTTTTTCAGTGTAATTTAAGCATATAAAATCTTTAGAAAGCTTGAATTTTCAGGTTACATCCAGAGCTCATTGAACTTCAACTTCACCAAGACCAAGAAAACATTGAGAAAATGGCTTCAAATCCACCTAAATTAACTAATACATTTGATGGTAAGGAAAAATTAAAAAATAGAATTGGGATATCAAATTCATGATCATGAAAATCCTAGTTATTCACCACATAACACAATATCTAACACAAGAAGATTAAATATTCCCAATAATCACCATACCTGAGGTGAAGCTCTAGTCCTTCTACAAACCTCTCATCAGAGTACATTTCCACGCTCCTCTTCCTCTGCACCACCGTCATCGTCCACAACAAGCGCCACCCCACTGACAGTATCATCAACATAGTTTGGTGTTCAACGACATGATCTTAATCCTGGTCTACTGCATTGCAGAGATATCAGATTCCCCCAAAATCCAATTTAAAACCATAGATTCACAAAATCAAGAAATTACTTCAAGCTCATAAATTCTAAACAATAAGTAATGCACTATGTTCATCTGGATTTCGTCACATGAAGAATTTAATGCTTTCCTCTAAATGTTACAAATTTCGACGGGAAGGGGTTGGCGCGAACGACGAGGAGCTTGAAATGGGAATTTTCTGGCGACAGAGAAGAAAAAGAATTTGGAAAACGAAAGTGTTAGCATGACTTTATCTCCACGTCAGAATGAAGACTAAGGAAATTATTCCCGCAGCTTGTTCACCATGCAGGCTCGTGCATGGACAATTGTACCCCTCAAAGCATCTTAGCATTTATTATTTTTTGTCTTCTTATTCTTTATGGTTTCATGATTTTGATTCACCATTTGTACGATTTGATCTTATCATCAGAAAGTCTGTTAGGTTATCAGAGGGCTAGTATATAAGGATGTAAAAACTCTTGGTTGGCGTGTGAAAAATACAGCTTGCATATTTTTGCCTCTTCAAGCAAGAACCCTAATTTTGTCTACGTATCTTCTTTGATTTTATCAAAATGATTTTGTTTGATTCCAACATGGTATCAGAGCAGGGATAACTTGCTTTGAACCTTGTTTAATCAATGGCCACACCAACCAATCCCGGCCAAACCCAGATCTCAACACCTGCCCCAATTCAACTTCACAACCAATTGATATCCACCAAACTTTCTGATGAAAATCACCTCATATGGAGACAACAGGTCCTCACCACTGTGAGAGGACATGGTCTAGAAGGTTTCTTGGATGGATCGAGCCAGCCACCCACCAGATTCATACCTGGATCTGAAGAAGATCTTCTTCAAGTAAACCCAGAGTACACAAGCTGGAGAAGACAGGATCAATTGTTGGCTTCATGGCTCCTTTCATCACTTTCAGAGCCTGTTCTTATATCAGTGGTAGGTATGGAGAGCTCATCCCAGTTCTGGAAATGCTTAGAATCAAGTTTCTCCACACAGTCAAAGGCCAGGACTATGCATTACAGAATACAACTCCAAAACCTCAAGAAAGGGAACATGAGCATCAGGGAGTATGTTAACAAAGTGAAGGTGTGTTGTGATACCTTGGCTGCTGGAGGACATGTTGTGACAGAGCAGGATCAGATAATGCACATTCTTAGTGGCCTAAGCTCAGAGTATGATGTTGTAGTTGTGAGCATCAATGCAAGGCCTGAAGAACTCACAATGGTGGATGTCATGTCTTTGCTTCTTACCTATGAAAGTAGACTTCAAGCTGCTGGTCTTGTTGGTGAAAACAACACTCTGCCCTCAGCAAACCTCTCAGTTCAAACCAACAAGCCATCCCACAACTCTTATCCCTCAAGAGGTAGAGGAAATCAACAGGGATACAGAGGTAGAGGCATGTCAGGAAGAGGTAGGGGTGGCAGAAACTTCAACAAGGTTCAATGTCAAATATGTGGGGTACACTAATCATACCGCAGACAAGTGTTACAACCGCTTTAACCCTGACTTTGTGACACAACCATCTCATCAGAGGCAGTACAATGATGGTAAAGGCCCAAGCCAATCCTCAGTGATGTTTGCATCCAAGGATAACAACAATGAAGGAGACTGGTTCACTGACTCTGGTGCTACTCACCATGTCACCAATGACTTTGCAAACCTAAGTGTGGCCTCTGAGTATGGTGGACCAAACAAGCTGCAAATTGGAAATGGGGCTGGGCTAGACATCTCTCATGTTGGTAAGGCAATGTTTACTAGTTCTGAAAATTCCCATACACCACAGCATACCTTCAAACTCAAAAACCTATTGCATGTTCCACATATAGCAAAAAATCTCATTTGTGTTGCTCAGTTTGCTAAGGATAATGATGTGTTTTTTGAATTCTTTTCCACTTTTTGTGTTGTGAAGGATCAAGCTTCAGGAGCACCTCTTCTCAAAGGGATCCTTAAGGATGGTTTATATGCTTTCAAGCTGAGTAGAGTACCAAACAAGAGTGAAGAAAAAGAGAGTTCAGTTTGTAGTGAAAAGAAATTCTTAGGTGGAGAAGTTTATCTGTCTAGTTCTATTAAGTCTTTAGATGTTTGTCATAGGAGATTGGGTCATCCCTCTTTTGATGTAACTCAGAAAGCTCTCAAATTGTGTAATCTTCCTTTTTCCAGTAATAAAGTTTCTCTTTGCTCAGATTGTGCCCAAGCAAAATCTCATAAATTGCCTTTTTATGCATCTAATCACACATCAAAATTTCCTCTTGAACTTGTGCACACTGACCTTTGGGGGCCAGCACCTCTGAAATCCACCACAGGATCTTTATACTATGTTGCCTTTGTTGATGATTTCTCCAAATTCATATGGATATATTTCCTTAAAAACAAATCAAGTACACTGCAAGCATTCACTCATTTTCTTCACCTTGTTGAAAACCAATAAAATTATAAGATTAAGGTAGTGCATAGTGATGGTGGCACTGAGTTCAAGCCATTATCAAATCTTTTTTCTGAGAAAGGGATCCTTCATAAGATATCTTGCCCTTACACTCCCCAACAAAATGGGTTGGTGGAACGAAAACATAGACAAATTATAGAAGTGGCTTTGAGTCTTTTCTCTCACTCCAAAGTGCCTAAAAAATACTGGGAAGAAACCTTCTCCACCGCCATTTATTTGATCAATAGAGTCCCAAACAAGACCATTCAATTTGTCACACCCTTCTCCAAACTCTATGGCCATAACCCCAGTTACAAGCACTTAAAAATCTTTGGATATGCCTGTTATCCTCACCTGAGAAATTATGTGACCAACAATTGGAGTTGAGAGCTAAATTGAGTACTTTTTTGGGATATAGCTCTCAGTATAAGGGCTACAAGGTTTTATTGCCAAATGGGAAGATTATCATTTCCAGAGATATTGTCTTCAATGAAGACCATTTTCCTTTTCATAGAAATGAGCATACTGAGCAACCTAATGATGATAACATTTTGTATACCGTTTCTGATTTCCATCCATCACATACAACATCACCTGTATCTACTGAAACAATTGCTTTTCCTTCACAACAACTTACTCATTCTCCATCACACACTTCTATAAGCCCACCTCCATCCCCACATCACAGCCATTATTCTATAAATCAATCTTCCAGTTCAACCAATTCCCCTCATACTTCACCTTCCACTTCACATCACCTTTCACCCCAACCCTCTCCACCCTCTAATAATACAGCTCAAGATGATCAAAACTCCAACTCCTCACCTCACACCTCCCCTACACAACAGCCCCTTCTTACAAATCAACACCCCATGCAAACCAAGGCCAAAAAAGGCATTTTCAGGCCTAAAACATACATTGTCAACAGTGATGTTTCTGTTCCTACATCTCAAGAAGCTTTATCAAATCCTTGTTGGAAAAATTCTATGACCTCTGAATATAATGCCTTACTTAAAAACAGAACCTGGGAGATAACACCTTTGCCACTTGGAAAGATTCCCATTGGTTGTAAATGGATGTTCAAAACAAAACACAATGCTGATGGCTCAGTTTTAAGGCATAAAGCCCGGCTTGTTGCAAAGGGCTACACAAAGGTTGTAGGTATAGATTTTCATGATGTGTTTAGTCCTGTGGTCAAACCTGTTACCATCAGAATGGTTCTCACCATAACATTGCACAAAGGGTGGCAGCTCAGACGGCTTGATGTTGAAAATGCTTTCTTGTATGGGACTCTTGATCAAGACACTGACATATTTATGGAGCAACCACATGGCTTTGAGGTTTCATCCTCTCCTGGTTATGTATGCAAACTCAACAAGGCCATCTATGGCCTCAAACAAGCCTCGAAGACTTGGTTTGATAAACTCAACACTGTCCTCTCTAAATTTGGCTTCAAATCTTCCCTGGCTGATGCTTCTCTATTTGTCAGAAAAAGTCACACAAGCCTCACTTACATTCTTGTTTATGTCGATGATATGATCATCACAGGCAGTTGTTCCCAAGAAGTCAAGCACATCATTCACTCATTGTCCAAGGAATTTCCTCTCAAAGACTTAGGAGCTTTGCATCACTTTCTTGGTATTGAAGTTCATTATACTTCCAGTGGTATGCTATTGTCCCAAGAGAACTATGCTCATCAGCTGCTAACCAAGGCTAATATGCAGACTTCAAAAGGATTATCCCACCCAATGGTCTCCTCACCACCTTTATGCAAATTTGAAGGCAGCCCCTTTCCTGATGGCAAGCTTTACAGAACACTCATAGGGAGTCTTCAATATCTCACAATTACAAGGCCCGATATAACATTTGCTGTCAATAAACTTAGTCAGTTTATGCAAGCACCATTGGATACTCATTGGAAAGCCATGAAGAGGATATTAAGATACATAAATGGCACCATTTCCTATGGTCTTCATCTCTTTAAATCCTCTCATCTCTACATATCTGCTTTCTCTGATTTTGACTGGGCCTCAGATCCAGACGACCGCAAATCCACTTCTGGCCATTGTGTTTTTGTTGGTCAAAACTTGGTGTCTTGGAGCTCCAAGAAGCAAACAAAATCATTTTGATAAAATCAAAGAAGATACGTAGCCAAAATTAGGGTTCTTGCTTGAAGAGGCAAAAATATGCAGGCTGTATTTTTCACACGCCAACCAAGAGTTTTTACATCCTTATATACTAGCCCTCTGATAACCTAACAGACTTTCTGATGACAAGATCAAATCGTACAAATGCTGAATCAAAAGCATGAAACCATAAGGAATAAGAAGACAAAAAATAATAAATGCTAAGATGCTTTGAGGGGCACAATTGTCCATGCACGAGCCTGCATGGTGAACAAGCTGATGGAATAATTTCCTTAGTCTTCATTCTGACGTGGAGGGTTGACCGAGTCTTTAT